CTGTGAGACAATGACACGGTAGTAGAGGGGACTAAAGATGAAAGAAGACTTTAGGAGCATTTTATTTCTGAATATGTGCTTTAAATTCCCTATTCAACAATAATTCAGTGTCTGCTTGCTCCTCTTTTATAAATAGGGACCAAACCTATTTTGGCAAATGATCATGTTAACTGATGATTTTCAGACATCAGTTGAGAGGGAAAAGTATACAGCATTGCATGTTGATTTAGCTCCTCTCGCGTCCCTCTCCGTGCTGTAGTTTCCACCACAACACTTATGGGTGCTGCTGAGTGGTAGAGACACGGCTGTGAGATCACGAGCTGGAGCTGGCAGGCAGACAGCTTGGGATGGGGTGTACTACTGAGGGTGAGTCACCCCGAAGCACAGACTCGGAGAGGAGAGGAGAGGAGAAAAGAAAAGAAAAGAGAGTCGAAGGGAAGGGAAGAGTAACGTCAGGATGAGAACAAATATCAACCTCATAAAAGCAATGGTCCTCGTTTGAACCGTGAAATGTTTCAGAGAAATGAACCGAGATGAACTTCTCTTGAAAGGCTCTGCAAGATACTGCTTTCAGTTGAACAGAAGGATGGCTTTGGAATTAGCTCATTTGCTCTGTTTATGTGCTGTTGTTGCTTCAGGAAATAAAAACACTACAATGCCGCAATTTCAGTCTGCATCCGCAGTTGTTATAAAGATCATTTGAATTTGAATCAGAGCCATTGCAGATGCTTCTGACATAGGTTTGGAGTCATGGCTATATCAAAGTCAATTGGCTGTTTGGGTGCAACTTGGAAAACTTAAGCTCTGAAGCAACAATATCACTATTACATCGGTGGATTTAATTAGGTTGGATGTCTTACAGTCAGTTTTATTTAATGTGACGACAAATATTTTGATTCATAAGCCCCCCATCCAACAAGAAGACACCTTTGTTGCGGTTTTTGTGGTCTTTATGTTGTTTTTTCCACAACCCACATATCCAAATATCCTTTCCCCCATTGAGGGGGTTTTAACTGGATGAAGAATAAATCTGTGCCAGACAAGTCATAGGCTAATCTCTTCAATTTCTGAATGTTTCTTCTTGTTATGTGAAAATGAAATCTTATATTGATAATCATAATGGTGGCGTGAGGAGCTCCCAGGCATCACCATAGGCCCTGTGTGGATCTCCTGCCTGTAGTGCATAAAGTATCTGCGTATGCTATTTCTTCCATTGCCCAAAAGTAGCAGCAAAGGTTCCATTGCTTCTGCACCCCAGTGGCTTTACACGAACAAGCTGGCTCATCATCTTAAACGGCTCCCTAACAATGTACCGTTCTGTGTGTCCCCTGCAGTCCAGGGGCTGCAATGCTATGGCTGCAACATCCTCCAGGGCCAGAGGTACGTGGACGTGGGTTGCTCCAACCCAGAGGTCATCACCTGCACCCACTCACACAGAGGCTTCAAACATCGCTTCTGCATCAAGACAGAGAGCAGTGAGTAAACCTCCATGACCAATATGTAATGACTAATACACTGAAATCACAATTTTCTAGTCTATTCGTCCTCCAAGTCAGTGAGCCACTGCGTCTGATACTCATGCAAAGAATTTCTAAGGTGGAGAGGACGATTATTAAATCATGATGAATTCACTCTGGCATGCCACTGGACATTGGCAAAATCCTTTTTAATCATACTTTCATGTATGAAAAATGTTCTTTGTCTGCTGATGTGAATATATTGCTCCCTGCACTGAGCATTACATAACCCTACTTTGGTGTGCTTTGATAAGTCATTCCTTGTTTGATGTTAAGTCAAATGGAGGATGTGGACACCCAGGACAGGAGAGTGATGGTCAGATGAGTTCTGCTGTATCCATGGAAGCGTGGACAATCCAGCTGTTCCTTCGCTCGATGTCTAAAGGCTCCACTCATGTTGAAAGGGCTGATGATGCACCTTTTCCATGTGCTCAGAGAAAGAGCAAGCTCAGAAAAGGACTGACAACAGCCCATCAGAAACAGTATGACAAGCACTTGTCGGTCAAAATCTGAAAGCAGTGTCTTGGCAGTAATCTGTGGCCAGTCAGCCTGTTAATCTTCATGTGACCCCGCCAAACTCAACTCTAACAGATGCTGGTGAAGATCTATGAGCGTCTTAGTTATAGTCCCCTTTGTTCTCAGATACACGACATCTGTCCTTAATCCATAACTACTCCAGTGCCCTTCTCTCCTGAGCAATATCCTCTCACTTCTCAGCTGCCTCTTACATTATAACCGTGTCGATAGATTCTTGACAGGATCTGCTGTGCACCTAGAAGACATGATCACTCTTGCTTTTCATCACTAGGGGACTATAAATGGCAGAGCAGAGGTGTTGTTAGGTGCTAATTGAGTGCAATAAGGTGCACAGTAAAATCTCACTGTAGAAACTACTTTAACTGACAAACAGAGTGGAGAAGAAGAAGTATGGCTCCCTTTTATTTAGAATTTGCTTATGCCAAGTATTGCTGCTCAAAGATTCGAATTATGCATTTTAGTTTCATTGGTTGTAAGGTTAAAGGACTCAGACCAATGTAAATACCCCACAAATGATATTGCAGTAATGATTGGAGGTCAGTTTTTAGCCACATGCCTTTCTCCAAAACTATACGACAGCCAGAGTCTAGAGAGAATCTCCACAGAATGTGCAGCTTTCTCTATCCATGTACCATTTGTCAGAGAGAGAGAGCTTGTTTTGTCAGCTGTGAAGACACATCCTGAGTGTGCCTTTAAGATCTCATGTCTCATTACACACTTTGCGCTTACTTATGCTGTTTTTTTCTTGCTGAGCCAAACACCAGCTCGTCACTCTTCTCTGACTGACTGTCTCCCCCTTCTGTCCCTCCAGCGGCCCTGGGTATCGTCCTGACCAGTGGTTGTGCCACATCCAGACACTGCCAGCAACATGAGCTGCCAGGGGTGCGCATCCACTGCTGTGACTCAGACCTATGTAACAGCGCCCCCTCCTGGCACCCGTGCACGCTCCACTACATCTGTGCACTGTTCAGCCTCTTGCTTATGAGGATGTGGTTGTGATATGGAGACAATCTGGAGAGGGACATAACACCAGTGGACTATGGTGGTGGGAAACAATAGCTGTCATCTCTTCTCTTAGCTGCTCATGTTTAGAGCTGAATGAGAGTTTTGCACCTTGAAATAGTAAGCTTTTGTCACATTGTTAGCTTGGATTTACAGTCAGAGCGATGGCAAAATAACCCTGTGAATATGTTTGATCAAAATAACTATGAAGCAGCTTGCAGTCATCAGTGAATTTATTGTGCAGATCCACTCACTTACATAGCTTGAAGTACAGTATATGGGATATTATGGGCCATTTGTTGCCATGAAAGAAAGATCTTAGAGTCATAATGTAGGTTTATTTAGATTTTTTTTTAGTAAAGACACCTTGTATCAGCGATACAGATACACACAGACTTGAGACTTATAATGGCTTATGTCCACTTGTACTGTAAGACATGAATTCATTTTCCTCATCATCTTTCTCAAGATCAAATCTTTGTTGTGCAGTATTTTATTTTAAATACACAGGCTATTTACTTTGCTAAGTTGAAGATATTTTTTCTAGTTTGCTGTCCAGTTCTCACAGTTAATCTTGGGAAAGCACACTGCATGTTGTATGTGGGACTGTAAGAAAAATTGTACAGTGAAAGCATGTAATGTTGTGAATTACTATATTAAAATGTTTCATATTTTTCAAAAGTGCTTGAAATGGAAATTTGTATCACACCAAGACACACCATGAATGTCACATACTACACGGAATCAGAGCAAATTAAAATGACTTGGGGTTCACATGATTTAATTTAAACCGTAGGCCAGCTGACCAGAAAGGGATTTTATGTGCATATGAAAATGTGTAACACTGACATGAAATAAATAGAAATGAAAAAAATGTTGTACAGACATTTCATCGAGGGTTTTGTTAAGTACCATATACAGTATAGGCTTTGTGTATTATAAAGCTGTCATATACAAAACAAGTCTGGGTATCAAAAATTACCAGCCTTTAAAATCTGAGTAAACGTTGCAGCACTGCTGGAGCTAAAAACTTTACACGGCGACATTTTGGCAGAATGGATAGTGTCCAAATATTGAATAAATAGCTCATAGTCCCACTTCCTTATGCTGATTGTTTGCATGTAACACATTTGTAATTCTCTCACATTTTGTTCCCAATTAACACATTAACAAATTTGAACCTGGCTTCAGTTGATTTGCACAAACACATGGGAAAGATACAGACTAAGGACCATTGCAATGAACATAACATTAACAGGGCCAATAGAGCTATATATCACTGGAACAGTTTTACATGTTTTATATCTCAAGAATCTCTGAAAAAATGTTTAAGAGACTGCTAAAGATGTTATTCTTGAATAAGACAGGCCTGCAAAATAGTTGTTCTAAATTATTAAACAGTATGGATGATCACATAAATTTAGATAATTGTTTTTATTCAGGCTACAACTCATTTAAATTGTTCTCGTTGAATGTTTGTTAAAGCCCATGTCTTGAGGCATTTCTTGAGTTGCAATGGTGATGCTCATTAATTACTGTAACATATGTACGCAATGTAAACATTTGTTATTTTTTTGCATTTTATTTGAATGTGGACAACTGATGGGGATCCAAATAAACAATACAAATATACTTTTAGGCATACAATGGGTTTGATTGACCGGTCTAAACCTCACATATCTGATATCTTCAAGGTCTTCTAAGTGCACATTATCTTCTGAACCCAGGTTCAGTCAGGTGCAATAAAATCTCTGAACACTCAACCTTGTTGGTTATCACATGGTGATGTAATCATCATCATTGAAACTGTATCCGTATTAAGAGGTGTGCCAGTACAGTATGCATGAATACACCTGTGCAGGTGAGGTTGCTCTCCACCAAACAGTGCACACACCTCAAATCGCCGCATATGATGCTCTTTGTCCCAGAAGCCCATTGTATACAGCGGAGGAAACCCTGTGCCGCGAGCAGCCATCTTGGATAGACAGATCATACTTGAGCCAGGATAACCTGCATTCCTCTTCTGGACAGCTCAAGAACACAAAGCTCAAAAGACGTAATTTCTGGTAAGGACAGAGACGAGCACATACTTGGAACATGCTCACACGTACACCCCGATCAACGTGAAGATACTGGTGTTCCAATCACGAGACGGTCGGAACAGTTAAGCTAGCTTGTGTTTGCCAGGAGTCAGCTAATTGGCAAGCTAACGAGGCTAGCTAACAGATGGCTAATGCTAGGTTGTTTTTTATCGTTAGCTTCAAATAATAGTATATATTACACATTAAACTGCTAGAGATTACTATTGTAGGCGATAAATCTCTTGATCAGCAATGACTCTAAATGGGTTGACAAGCTAACCAAACATCGTATTTACCATAATCCAACCCTCGCAGCTAACTAGCATGCTACAGATATAGCTGGCTTTCGTTAGTTTGGTTTTTGGTGGCTTTTGTGAAATTGTGCAGAGGCCAAGTTGATTTTCTAACGTAGTTACACTAATCAGGTGACACTGCCTCGATTGTCTTTGTGCTAATATTGGCTTACGTCTTGCGCTATTTGTTGTCAAGACATATCCGTTGATCTCAGCGAGCAGGTAAACCAGCTAACACATACTTAGCTGTCAAAACAGCTAATTTAGGGCCGTGATTGTTATCGGACACGATCACGTCGTTGGGTTTTAGCCAGTAAATATCAGGTTTCATTTTCTCTTTTGCTTAGTAACATTGTTAACTTTTTGTGAGCTGACTAACACCATACAATTAACCAAACCGATGCTGTCAAATTGCCTGTTGTTAAACTAAGCTAGGAACAGCTATGGCGTTACAATGTCGAATAAAAGTGATAACATGGACTACAACAGTCGGGTCTGTTTGGATTTGTGTTTGCAGATTGTCCCTTTTTTTATTTTTAAATTCTGGTTACTCGTATAGAAGTGATACTGTAGTCAGCTGTAGTGCACATAACATCAGGTCTGATAACTCCTTAGCCAACAGGGTGTTAGCCTCCTCGCTGGCTTTACTTTTCCTAACAACAGATGTGTGATTTGAAAAGAAGACCCCGAATGTCTTAAATGGGTAATGTGGATAGATCTGCCCTTATATGTGTATAAAATGTTTCATAATTTATATTTATTGTGCCAATGCACTCTGTGTATTAGTAGGCTTGATCTGAAACTTGAATAACAACATTACTTATTGTTTTGATTTTATTTAATCATGTAAATATTGTAAAACATCAAATTTGATTTGTATGTATTGTAAAAGCCTGTGAACGATGGTGATGATGTCATAATATTGTTTTATGGCTTTTAAGACATGATTTGAATAGCGGGCCTGAACATAATGAAAGCTAGCTATCTATCTATCTATCTATCTATCTATCATGATTTCCTGATGGATTTGAGTCACGCGTCGTCCCCTTTATGTGGGAAGTGGCTGTTGAGAGAAGGAAAGTCAATGACAGTGTTTCTCTGGCGGAAGATTCAGTGGGTTGGGGAGAAATGCTGAGGCTGCATTCTGGTCACATGATTGTGACTCCTTGACGGATACTCCATGGGGTTTATTTATACTTAATGAGCACAAAAAGCTGAAAAAAAAAAAAAAAAGGTTTGGTATCGAAATTGAATTGCATCTTGTTTTTCCTCAGTTCTGGGTAACCTACTGTAAATGCTTACTTTCCATCACACTGGAAACCATCACACTTGGGTGTAAATATGCCACATGAGGGTCATGTGACAGGAGGAAGACTGGAGAAATCTATATATATGATTTTAAAGAAGTGTGATTGCGTGATTTGTTCACGACATCTGTTTCCCTTCGAAACCCGCATGGTACAACTTCATTAACTGCCCTCACATTATGTAGAAGTTATGCTGTCACCCACACAGTTGATATAGATATTAATACATTAAGTGATAATCGGCAGATGTAGCATTGCAGCGTAAACAAGCTTGTGATAGCGAGTGTACTGTGTAACTTTAATGTAGCATTAAAGTTAGCCATGTTTTTTTTAACAAAGTAGGAAAAGGGTAGATCCTACAATAATCACATGGGAAGTTCATAAAGACGACATTTTGCCTGAGTTAGCTAGTTGGTGTTAGCCTGAGTAATTATCCACATGTCAGGTCAAGTTGCAGAGTTTGTGGCAGACTGTCACGGTGAGCCAAGTCTTTTCTAAGGCCTCCAGTAAACAACACTGTCACAGCCTGCTTTTGTAAGTTGTTTACATCGATGGAAACACTTAGTAGCTTCTCCTGAAGTCCTATTCTTCTTCAGGAAATTAGAAATACGGAAACATGCTTTTGAGTCGTCTTAGTTATCAAATGTTATTGTCTGTTGTTTTCATATATTTTATCTCTGAACATAAGTGTTCTCTACTTTTGATGTTTATAGATTTCCTCAGGCATAGGATTAGTATGACTGTCAGTATCATGAGGGTATCTGACCCTATACCATTTTTATTGAAGCAACATTTCGACCTGAATTAACCTTCCCTGTCTCTGATCCTGTGTTCACCCACTTCACTCCATTTGCGAATGCTACTGAAAGTCTACACCTTTCATTTATCTTTTTAATCCCTGTAAAGTAATTTCATCTTTACTCGTTTTGTTTTATTTTTTTAATTTCTGCTCTCTTAGATTCTCAAATCCCAGCCGTCTACGTTTTGTCTGTTTGTGTCACTGTCAGCATTAATCTGGCCAGTCCCAACATGGCCACTGTGCTGCAGATACAGGTGTGTGAGCACTACACCAGCACTCGGCTGTGATGTGGCAGTGATTTCAGCCCAGTTTTCACTGAGGTGCGGATCACAGAATGGCACTGGCAGACTTTATCTTTGCCAGGGACGTAGAAACCATCGCGCCGCTGCATGATTATGCACCTGATTGTTAAGCCTTGAATTATTTACCTCTCTACCGCAGTTACACCGTACATCAGCACCTTGACAGAATTACAAAGCGGCCTTTATTCAGCACAAATGCAACATGGCCTTGATGGCATCGCAAAGTGAATTTAATGGAGAAATTGTTCGTGAGAGAGACACGGCCAGCTTTCTGAAGCTGCTTTATGGATGCCATACATGACCCGATCATTTATTTATGAACAAATCTGTGCATGTTCAAAAAGGAGCATCTCACATTGGCTGTTTTGTGAATGTGTTTTTTTGATATAGTCGTGGTGATATTGTGTGGTAATCCTGAAGGCTGTGTGCTGTGTATGGAGTGTGAACAATGAAGCGTCGCCGGGTCTCAGATAGGTGTCGGGGCTATTTTTAGCTTATGTGAAAAGGTTGCCCGAGCTTTGCGCTCTGAAATGTTTTTAATACTCTAATGTGATCCGCGCTAACTTCAGCTTTAGTGATAGTTCAAACAATGTGGCACAAAGACGTGTTTCATTCCTTTTGTGGTAGTAATATAAGTTAATAACATAAGGGGCACGGGATTGTTAAGGATCATTAGCTTAAGCAGTTCGTCAGTGGACACGAAGCTGTTAAAAGTAAATGGCTACGTCTGTTTGTTCTCTGGCTTTATTTCTGTAAGCTGAGCAGAAATATGAAGCGTGTGGGAAGTGCAGTCAGAGCTCCTCCGAGCTGACCAACCAAATGAAAAAGTGTCAGTGTTTTAGGTATTTGTACAGTCTCAGCTGTTGCATCTTAGGCATTTAAGAGAAAGTTATTTACGGCCTAATCAAGGGCATACTTGCTGATATTGATGTGCACCATATTTATAATAATCGGGTAATTTAAAATTGCATAAGGGTCATTGTTAAAATGGTTTAACTGGACTCTTCACACAATGTATATGTTTGGATGTGTAATTCCAAACAAGTCCAGGCTACTGTTTGTTTTGCTGTGCTTTAGCGTGCATCGATGAAGCATCTGGTCTTTGCCTGGGCTCTGGACCTATTGCTCTGATTGGATTATAGCGTCGTTGAATAACACCGGCTCTTATGTGACGATTTTATATGCAGACGTGCACAGTACTTAATGTAATTATATTTGCACTCAGGCATGCTCAAGTTTGACTTTTTTTAGCCTCTCTTCTAGGATAGTATGTTTTTTTTTTTTTGGCAATTGTATTTGAATTGATAATGCATTTGTGTACAAACTCTGTCGCGTAAATGTACATTTGTTTGTTATTATAACATATGTTTTATTATCATTTATTCATGGGGCGAGAGCACCTTTAATGAAACTAAAATAACTCCTGCTGATAGTAAACCAGCATGCAGAATTAATGTGGTCATTGTTGGTAAAACAATGAACTTACTACAATACAGTGAATTACTGCTCTTGCGTGAATCGGTTTACGTGCCTAAACGTCCCCTTTTCTCTCTCTTTCAGAGCCACAATGGCCACCGCACCGTACAACTACTCCTACATTTTCAAATACATCATTATCGGTAAGTGAGCAATGCTTTACAGTGAGCCTTGTTAATGAGCCGTTCACAGTGCATTGCTGTGTATATATATATATATATGTCTATCTATCCCACTTCTATGTTTTGTATGCTTCATGCTACACCGTACACTGAGTGGGTCCAACATGTTTCAATATGTCTAGTATGTCAAATGTGTTTTTAAATGCCATTCCCCCGATTAGAATTATGTCCCACTTTTGTTGACAGGTTTGTAAATGTGAGCATATTGCTGCTTTTACTTGAACATACATTTACAGACAGACAAATAAACAAACTTAACCTCCGCTCTGGGCTATTTACCCTCCTCTCTCTCTCACCCCGGCTAACAGTCGTCAGCTCGGACCTGAAAGAGGAGTGTACATGAAGTCTTGAAGCGCAGCCTTTGGCTTCCTACTTCACTTTTCTTTCCTTCACTAGAGCAGTGAAGGAAACCTTCACCGTTGGGTTTTAGAAAAGGGAAGTCTGAAGGTCTTGTGATCCCACTTGTTGTAGTTGCACACACATTTTTCTGAGATTCTTTTGACGTTTTTAGCCGAGTAGAATAAACAGAAAATGCCCCAACCTCCAGGCTGCTTGGTGTTTTTATGCTAAATACAGATGAAAGCATCAATAGCCATTCTTACAATATTGGCACACCTTGAGTAACAAGGTGGTCAGTGGAAAAAGTATTTATTTAGTCAATATCGCACACCCCACCACATTGTCAAACTCTGTATTGACAATGAATACACATTATTATATTAATGCCTTTCTCTGTCTCATATCGCTCCACATTAAATCTTAAGTACCATCGCTGACTTCCTCAGAGGGGCTGCTACAACATGCAAGTGGGCATTGCTGCAGGCTTGAATAAAGAATTGTTCTTCTTCTGCTATTTAGTCTCTCTCTCGCTCTCTCCACAGGGGACATGGGGGTAGGGAAGTCATGTTTGCTCCACCAGTTCACAGAAAAGAAATGTAAGTGCTGCCCTGATTTTTGCCTCCTTTTCTGTGTGTACTTGTCTCTCTGTGTGTGTGTGTGTGTGTGTGTGTGTGTGTGTGTGTAAGGTTGCCAGGTTCAACTGGAGTGCCTCGATCGCTTTAGATTTCTTAATGCGCAAGCGGAAGTCGGCGGCATAGAAGAAGAGTGTGAGCTCAACAGTGAGAGACTCTTCTTCTTCTGTGTGCGAGTCAGCTGCAGCCTCCCATTACCATTCAGCTCTGTCTCGTTCAGCGCTACTATTAACGAGCCAGATGCTGTGGTCCTCATTCACCAGCCACCGTCACATCCTGCACATGCGCACACACACACAATGGAGGTGTGTGACTGCACACGTATTCACAGAATGTATATTACAACATTATCACTGTAAGCGAACACACTAACTGTACATGTTCCTCAGTTTAAAACTTAAATACAAGGAAACCACTAATTCTCTTCTTATAATCACCAACTCTCTCAAAATGTTAACGTTGACACGTGGCAAATAACGGCACAACACCAAAAAAATGCATGACCATTTAGGGTGTAAAATGGCATAAATAAACTGAACTAATTGGCGCAAATCATCACATTGGACTCGCAGTAACCTCCCTTCCTCTCCCCAGTCATGGCGGACTGCCCCCACACGATCGGCGTGGAGTTTGGTACGAGGATAATTGAGGTGAGCGGCCAGAAGATCAAGCTGCAGATTTGGGACACAGCGGGGCAAGAGCGCTTCAGGGCCGTCACCCGCTCCTACTACCGCGGAGCTGCAGGGGCGCTCATGGTCTACGATATCACCAGGTACAGGATGTAGTCTTATCACACGGTCTCGACTTTACTCCAAAGCTCAAGAAGAAGGTGAACGTGCATCATTTCACCGTCTACAGACTCCTGAACAAAACAAACGATTTGTTTCTTACAGCTTTGTGTCCGACCCTCTTGCCCAAAGTGTTAGATGGTATCAGAGGCGTGCCAAATAAACACAGTTCCACATGTGGAATGTCTTTCCACACACCACACCCAACTCCAGTAAGGGCCCCGAGGGCCCCAGAAACAGCACTTATGTGGAAGAAATAATATGAATTGTTTACATTGTTAATGCGACCGCCCTCAGCTTCTGCTGGGCTAATTGACAAAAAAATGGGAGACAAAGATGCGTATATATGGACCGGTCCACTTAAGAGGGTACAGTGTGTCAGTGCCGTGAACTCACTCATTTGACCAAAGCTGCTGATTTAACAGGAGTTTGTGTGTTTTTCCTGTTAGAAACTACACAAATACAAATATCTACAACCTCTAAATTCTGTAACCACTGTCCCCTTTTTGTCGATGTCATGCAGGAGAAGCACGTACAACCATCTCAGCAGCTGGCTGACTGACGCCAGAAACCTCACCAACCCCAACACTGTAAGCACACACATAAACATCTTTTCATCTTTTGTACTGGAATTACTCTGTTTGTCTTTTGCTCTTAAACTGTGTGTCCCTACACCCACTATACACCCTCTATATGTTACTCTACTGTGTAGTTTTCTTTTGCTCTCCCCCGTGTCGCTCTCCCTCTCTTCTTAGCCTGTTCAAAGCTGCAGAGCCTTGTCCATTTCGTAAATTGGATTTCTTGGTAAATATGATTAGCTCCCATTTACTGAGCAGTGTTCCCTCAGAGTAATGTGTTCCTGTAATATGCAAAGGTCACTCCGGGTTTTTAACGCCAAGTGAAAGATGTTTTCCTGCTGTATAAACAGAGGTTTATTAATATTTAGATACACAGATGGGATGTCTTGTTCAACCATATTTTCTTTTGCTCTTTTCACAACGCAAACCTTACTTTGCTTTTATGAATATTATTTTGTTCTTTCTGTCACCTCTCGACTATGAAAACATCAACAGAAGCATATCAACCGTATCTGTTTTTCACAGAGGTGTCTCGTGTCGGCCATGCGGTGGCAGTGTTGTAGTCTATCTTGTGATACAAGTGTAAACATGTGTTCCTGCTTTAAGGGACTTTATTTGGCTGCTGGTGTTTGAACACATAATGACCACATTATGTGTTCACTCGACGGACACCGTAGTCGTCATCTGAATGAAAACAAGAGTTGTGTAAGACGTTCTTTGGATTTAGCAAGAGCTTCTAAAAAAAAAAAAAAATCAAATCAGTTGTCCCTTTTCCCAATAACCAATAATTCAAAAAGTACGATTTTAATTTGACTTAAATTACAAGTTAATATCAGTATCAAATCAACGGTGCTTAGATTTGTGCCTATAGCTCTTAAACTCTCACAGCGAGTATCATTGTTAACAATTCTGGAATAAAGCAGAAGGTTTATGCCGAACATGCAGTTGTGAGTCTACAACAAAGAAGCCCATTACATTGTTACAGGTCTAATTACATCACATCGCTAGGGGCACCGTCAACTGTGCTCATGTGGGGGGTGGGGTGGGGTGGGGTGGGGGGGTGGGTGTCGGTTCCTCAGTGTGTCGGTTCCTCAGTGTGTCTCTCAGTCAACGTCTCCACAGACAACTCAACAGTATATCAACTGCCTTAGGAACCGTCAGTGCTGTCTCTCAGGGGGGAAGTTATATTTTCAAGCACTACAGTCGAGAGGATCGTCTCACTCGTTCCGGTTCCTGTCTCTCGTATTTCCAGGTGATCATTCTCATAGGAAACAAAGCGGACCTGGAGGCCCAGCGGGATGTCACGTATGAGGAAGCGAAGCAGTTTGCTGAAGAGAACGGTGAGCCGCACACAAGAACATCGCATGTTTGAAAGAGGGTTTAATGTCATTTTCTATCTGTATTGCTGAGACAGAACTTAGGAGAAGTTGACTTGAGGAAAGCAGAGCTATTAATTGAAAGAGGGGGCGAATGAGAACTTGGTATTTGAGGTATGTGAGCTTGTAACAATGTTTTACTGAGTCTGTCATTGCATCTGTTTTATGTTCTACAGGTCTGTTGTTTCTGGAAGCCAGCGCAAAAACGTAAGTCTGCACAACTTCAGCCACTTCAGTGACAGCAGAACATGAAACATCCCTTTGCTTACATTCTTACTCCCAACTGCCTTCCTTTTCTCACTTCCCTCTCATTCGTGTTCAGCGGTGAAAACGTCGAGGACGCCTTCCTGGAAGCCGCGAAGAAGATCTACCAGAACATCCAAGATGGTAGCCTGGACCTGAACGCCGCCGAGTCAGGGGTCCAGCACAAGCCCTCGGCCCCCCAGGGCGGTCGGCTAACCAGCGAACCACAGCCCCAGAGGGAAGGCTGCGGATGCTAATGACCAAGCAACCCCCCCCCCCCCCCCCCCCCCCCCCC